GATACACAACAGATATAGAAAGGAAGATAAAGCGAGAAATGGAAGAGTGCTTTGGATGGTGGAACACAAAATGAGATAGAGAAGAATATATAGGTGTAGAATGGAAATAGCATTAAATGGTTGAGATGACAGGTAGCTAAAGTGGGGAGCTGATGAAGTCAGTAATAATATATATGATTACATAGTAGCTGCGGTTTGCCGTGCTGTACTGTTATTTCCTTCACATATAATATTGCATCTTATACGAATTGTACGAACATGCATCCCCTAGTTTAAAGTTGATGCATAAATTATATTACTTTGTACAAAGGGTCTCATAGAAAGTTAGTGCATGTATACCCCCTATCTTGGACTTTTTTCAGCCACAGAAGGCATGGTGCTCTTCTTCTTTTTTTTTTTGATCAGCAGGCATGGTGCTTTGATTGGTGATCTTTCGAAGTTCTCGAAGTTAAGACCCCGGCCGCAAGTTGAGAGTGGAAAGATAAGATATGTGAAGGAGGGATGGGATAAGCTTCTTGGACAAAGTGCGATCCCACTTATTTGTAATATATATATGCTCTAATGGATATTCTAAAATATGTATCATTTTGCCCCCAGAAGTAAGAGGGGAGGGGCAAAAAATGATGTCTTACCATGAACTGTCATGCAAATACACAGGACAAGTCTAAATTGTTCATCTTGGTGGAAGAAAATGGGACTTAACTTTCCTTCAAAGATATTAAGGAGCTTGATTTAATAAGCACTAAATTTTATAAGGTCATGAAAATCTGCGTTGGTAAAAAGTAAAGTTTTTTTTCTTTAGATACATTGGAAAGTTAATTACTTGACATTATAAAAATTTGAACTTGTAATTTGATTTTAAATAAAAAAAATTTTAAATTAATAAATACCAACTTAATTTAATTTTTCTTTATTTTTTTTTGAACAGTTTATAATTTGAGAGATTGGAGAATAGAAATTTTTTAAAGTATTGATAAAATTTAAAATCTTGATTAATTATCTTAAATACTTTCAAAATTAGGACGAATTACTTTAAGCTAAAATATTCGGTTCAATTAAGTTCTTATTATTAATGTTGGAAAGTAAAATTTTTTATTAATTTAATCGAACACTTTTGGGTAACAGAGATTACGTTAAATCTTGATTTGCTTGATTGGAATGGTGTACAATGTCGTACAATAGCTTTCTTTAGTATCATTGCCCCTGCAACTGGATTCGTGAGAACTTTTAACTTTAAAGTATCTCTGCACTCTGAGTCTGACCATGATGCAGTACTGCCGGTGATGGGCTTGCTCTCACTGCTGGATGGAGAGGAAAACATATTAAGTTGCAGAGAAAGAACATGGAACGAGCCTCTTGAATCTTAAATTAATCATTCCAATTTCCGATTCTCCCCCAGCATATTCTATAATTTCTGTATCTTTTGACTGCGCACACTTCATCTCTAGCTATTATATTAGCTTGAAAGTATCTTCCCATCCTCTTATTCCAAGTAATCTTCATATTTTCATCATATATAAGGTCTCCTGTAGTAAATTTCTAATAACCCTGGATTATGAGAGGATGAGTGTGTAACTCTGTGTTTCTCCGTTTTCTTTTCCTTTTATATATATATTGAGTACATCGTAAACTTGCCGTTTAATATTACAAAAATTTAAATTTTTAGCCTTGATCTCAAATTAAGGATTTGTAGTACCAACTCAGCTAAATTTTGTTGGTGTCTTTTTCCTCAGTTGAATTATATATTTTTTTTTTTAACAGCCTCAGTTGAATTATATGCTCAGACTCTGATTGAATCCAGCACAATATTCATCCTCTAGAGACAACAATGTGTGCTGTATTGGGTCAGTGAAATAAAGAGAAAAACGCTAATCTGACTCTTCTGCACGCATCATTTGAGTAGAACTGGAAACAGCTTTGCATTATTGAGGAAAAAAAAACATGTAAGTCGAGTTAATATTTCAAGTTAAGATTTAACTCTTTCTGATTGCCTTCTTTCTGCTGACTTAGAGTGTACGCATATTACAAGTTCATTATTTCTTTATAAATGCATAACAAACTTGGACAGTTTTCATGGAAATTGACAGATTTGTTGTTGACTTGAGGATGCAGTGCCAACTAAATCTTTAGAATGAAAAATGCTAAAAACACTTTTTTTTTTAACACTCCGGTTTAAATATTTTTAATGTGATTAAACATATATCATATAAATTTAATATAATTGGTTATAATTTTAAATTTTAAAATTATTAACTTTAAAGTCAATATTAATTATTAATTACATTAAATTTATATTTCACATAACTCAATTACATAAAAAATATTTAGAAGTGACTATTAAAAAATGTGTTCTAACACTCAACTTTTAAATATTAAGAGTCAAAAAGTACCTTTTTTTTATAAAAAATTATTGCATTATCTAAATTTTATTTAGATATACAAATTAAATAATTATATAAGGTGTATTTTTTTTTCATATTCAGTAATTTTTATTTTATAATTTAAACAATAAAATGAAAAACTGTCACCATTTGTTTGAAGAAGCTTGTGTGTGTTTAGGTACAATGCATCTGAATGCCAGTATGTGCATGGAGAGATTACATGCATTATTAAGTATGGAGATGCTTAACTGGAAGACTGAAAAAGCATGCATTTCTTTCTCCTGAATCATCAAGCTCAAACAGATTCAATTTTTACCTCTAATTGGTGTGGGTAGGATAGCAGTGGTGGGGAAGGAAGGAGGAGACGTGATGCACACGAAGGCCGGACCACCGCCGGCCCCCACCACCAACAGTGGCTGTTCACGGGGTAAGGGAACGGGAACAGCTAGTTGGTGACGCATCAAAGCGCTCATGTGTGAGTCAGCCCAGAGGATACCCCGATACCGTCTGGACAAATGGTTTGATTGGACTTTGTCTCTCTGCTGCGTCCATAGAGGTACACTCCCCCTGCTTCTGCAGGCTGCAGCCTCCATTAGCTGGCATTTTTTAGATTTTTTTTCTTTTTAAATATAATTATTGGCACTCGAGTTTTATTTTTTTATTTTTTTTATTTTGATGGTATAATAAAAAGTAATTATTTTTTATTTTTTTGTATTTATATGTCATAACACTCGAATTTTAAATTTTTTACTTCTGATAAAAAAAAATAATCATTAAATTATTTAATTTGTTGACTGAATTTTTATTAAGTTTATATAAAATTACATTTCAAAACATTAGTTGGCTTTAGTTTGACGATTAAATATTTAATAATTGTAGTTATAACTTTGTTTTTAAAAAATATATATACATTAATAAAATTAATCTAACTAAACACAATTATTATTATTTGTGTAGCTTAAAAAAAAAAAAAACATGTAGCAGTAACCAACGCCCTCATTTCCTCCCTCTTTTTATTTTTTAATTATAAGTATTAATATAAGTTTATTTTTTTTTACAATAAGGATTGCACCCAATCGCAAAAAGGTCTAATCAAACCGTAAAAAAATCTTTTGAAAGGAGAAAGAAACCTCACGCTCACGTTCAACGGTTCAAGGGACCTCTTACTTATTAAAGGATTAGTTTTATGTATTTTGACATAATTAAAAGTGTACAAAATATTTTTATATTATTTTTTCTTTTTTATATTTCTCCAAAATTGCCTTCCCATTTCTCTATTAAATTTTTCCCATGCTCCTTTTTTTTTTTTGTTTGGTCCTAGGACCCATGCTTCTTTCTCGTTGTGAACCAGTTGAATCCCATTTTTCTTTTTAAATCTATTTTTCTTGTTGAGCGTAATTATAATCATCCATTGATTCGTTAAGAACACCCAATCGATATTTAATTTAATTAATATTTATTTTTAAATAATTAATTATAATATTTAAAAATATTATTTTATAAATTAATTTAAATTTATTAAATAATAATTATTTTAAATAATCAATTCAAACAAAATAAATATTTTTTAACCTGTATGGGTGGACTTAACATATCAACGAGCGACCACGACCCCCACAAGGGCCACAACCCTTCTTGCTGTCAGAATTCCCCTTTTTTTCTTTTTATATTTTTTTTTTATTTTTTTTATTTTTTATTTTTTATTTTTAGTCATTGAAATAATTTTTAATGAGCCCTGTTGAGGAGATTAATGCATTGCGGGTGCCATGATGGGCTTAGTGAATTGAGCAATCAACCCCTTGCTAGTTTTTCCTGATCGCAACGGGGTTTGGGCCCAAAGATTATAGGTTAGGTTACTCCAACATATCTGCAAATTTGGGCTCACAATTTGCAACGCAATACATACTGAGTGTAGTTTCAGTATTAATTATCGTTTTTAGCCAGCCCTCCCAAGGTAGAATCTTAAAATGTGTTGAGGTTGTTTTTCTCATGTTTGATGCGAATAAGAAGATTTTGTTTACGGTGAAATTTGGAAATTTGGAGATTTGAAAGAGAGTGATTATGGTGGGTTGGGGTATTTTAGTTGGCGACAGACAAATGTCTCCGACCCATTTGCCTCTAAAACCCTATTTCATAGCCAAATGATGGTTGAAACTTCTAGTAAATTGCAACCACTTCTGTTAAAATCTAATCCCTTTTTAATTTTTTTGTTATTTTTTGTATACATGATGTATTAAATGATGAAAATTTTAATATGAAGGAATCATAAAGGACTTTAAAAAAGTTTTCTTTTGACCCTCTACTTTAAAAAAATATTTTTTTAGTCTATTTACTTTTTTTTTTTAAATAGTCTTTTTAATTTGAAATTTCTGTTAAAATAACTTACAACAAAGAAAAAAAATGAAAAAATTAAAAAGAGAACTAAAATTTAAACTTTAAAGATTAAAAATGAATTTTTATAAATAGAAAAACTAAAAGGTTAAACCTTCATTTTGGTCCCTCAACTATTGTATGGACCCATGATGTAGTCCCTCAACTCAACAATCCTTGATTTGGTCGCTATTGTTTACCATTTTAACCCCAATTTGATCCCTCTATTAAAAATCCGCTTACATGTCCCGTTAGTTGAAGAAAAATGATCACATGTAAAAATATTGACATGTAGGCGTATAGAACTTGACACGTAATTTTCAGTAAAAATTAAAATATCTAAAATTAATTATAAAACTAAAACTACTTTTTTACCCTCATCTTCAACCACACATCAATTTCTTTCCGTTTTCCTTTCATTACCCTTTCATTTTCATCTCTAACATTCATCTTCTTCCCCCAGATCCTTGTTCGTTGGCCTTAAGGGCTTTGGGTTAGATTGATGGCTATTGGGTTCGATCAATGAACCAAACAGGAACCCAGCAAGTGCTCCTGGGTTCAATCGATGAACCCAATGGCATCATTGGGTTCGATCGATGAACCCAACGACACTACTGGGTTCAATCGATGAACCCAGTAGGCACTCCTGGGTTCGATCGTTGAACCCAGCAGGTGCCGTTGGGTCTAGCACTGGGTTCGATCAATGAACCCAACAACGCTGTTGGGTTCAATCGATGAACCTAGCAGGCACTCTTGGGTTCGATCATTGAACCCAGCAGGTGCCTCTGGGTTTATGTTGGGTTCATTGATCGAACCCAAGAGCGCTTGCTGGGTTCATCGATCCTGTTGGGTTCAATTGAAGAACCTCTGATGGGTTTGATTGAAGAATGCTGGGTTTGATTGATTTACCATTGCTGGGTTTGATTGAAGAGTGCTAGATTTGATTGAAGAACTGCTGTTGGGTTTGATTGAAGATACCTTGATTTTTCTAGGTTTTTTGGAAGGCTGAGAGGGTAATGACTATTTTAGGGAGATTCTGGGTTTATGTTTGTGTTATTCTTGGATTTGATGTTAGAAAGTATATGGGTTTGCAGAAGGTGAAAGGAAAGGAAGAGGAAAAAGAAGCAGTTGCTGGGTTTGATTTCAAACCCAACACCCTGTTGGGTTCAATCGACCCAGTAGCTACTAGGTTTGAAAGAACCTAGTTGTGCTAGGTTCCTTCTAGGTTCCTTTGAACCTAGCTTTCAAACCCAACAAAAGAGAGAAATTGGAAGGGAAAATGTCTAGATCTGGTGTTGTGTGAGGGATAAAGAGGGAAAAAAAATGAAAAGATGAAATTGCAGGTTTCATTGGGGGGCAATTGCAAGTTTCTTCTTTAGGGTTTGTAGAAGGCAAGGAAGAAGAAAAAGAAAGAGGAAATAAGAGAATTTTTTAAGTATATTTTTTTGCCATGCTGTCTTCCTATGTGTATTTAATATGTTGAC